CCTGAGGTGATATCTCTACAGAAGTAGATTGCCCAATCTTCCTTCCGAGGAGTGGCTGGTGAGTTTGAACCACCAGCCTGCTGGTTAGCAGTCAGGTACCTTAGGCATTACACCACCAGACCTTCCATATATCTAGTAAGTACTGTTAAAATAAAAATAATATTAAGCCAATAACAGAAATTGACTGAAGTTTATTTGATATACAATTTGTAAATTAGGTCAACATTTCTGACTAGAGTCAATAATATCCCAAGAAGAAAGATCATTCACAGATTTTTATATACTCTTATTGCTAGCAATTATACATTGGCATGGAAACAGGACCAGAATAGAATGAATACACCCACTCCTCACTTATCAGCATGATTAGCTTCTACAAACTAGGTCATTATGTGAAAATTGGTGTTATGTGAGAGTTAAGGTGCATCCTGACTTTGGTGCTGGTGTCCCTCCTCGCATTGCTCAGTTGCCACTGGCTCATCTCTGTGTAGTGCAATGGGTCCCACTTCACCACTGTGCCTTTTCCACCACAGTGCTGAGGGTGCTGGTGGTGGTGGTAGGGGTTGTCTACTGCCTCTGCAACAGCAGGGGCCCACCATCATCTGGTCATGCTCTAGGCCTCTATGCAGACCCCCATACTTTGCTTCTCCACTTTTCTGCTCCACTGGCCCTGCAGACAGACCTCAGCATCAGGCGGCTCCTGGGCCTGTGGACAGATGAGGCCCAGCCACCTGGGTCCAGAGGAGACTGGAGAGATGACAGACAGGCCTTTTTGGAAGAAGGGACTTTGGAGCCCATCCTTGCCTCCTGCAGCCCCAGCTCCTGCTGCCTTCTTGCAGCCTGGCTGCCCCCATCTCCTTCACACTGTTCAGCCATGCTTGATGTGGACCTGGCCTGGCTCCTCCGCCTTACCTGGGTAATAGGAACCGTTGGTAGCCTAGGTTTGCTCCCTCTCACAAACCTTGTCCACCTCTTCCTCCTCCTCCTCTTCTTGCCTTATCTCCTAATTAATGCACAAAATAGTTGGATAGTAGATTTTTCACTATTGTCATAAATGCAAAATGTTGGCTAACAGGATAGTCGATAAATGAGGAGTAGGTATAAAACAATTGGTGCTCACACAGGATTCCATATAGCATTGTCTTGAAAAACAAAATAATTACTGTTTGACCTTAAATCATAGCTTCTGGTTTGACCTTTGGAATTGTTACTTGTCCAAACTGACTGCACATAGATAATTCTTTAAAAGAAAACAATGCCGAAGGCAAAATGTTCTTTGCTAATTGAGCTAGATTATTCTTTGACTGGAAGGAGCCCTGCTGGCACAGTGGTTAAGGGATTGGCTGCTAATTGAAAGGGCAGCAGTTCAAACCTACTAGCCTCTCCATGGAAGAAAGATGTGGCGATCTGTTTCCATAAAGATTTACAGCATTGGAAACCCTATGAGACAGTTCTACTCTGCCCTATAAGGTTGATAAGAGTTGGAAATGACTAGAAGGCAATGGGTGTTGTTTGACTTAAATATTGCTTTTAGAAGAACAGCAATAATTTGGGTAGATAATTATTAACCTCCATGGACTCCAGAAATCCGCATTCCATGAGAATTAAAAATTCTATTCCTTAGTAATGTAGGTTATACAGATAAGAAGCAATTAGTAATTAGTAATTCTTTGAGGTCATTTCTCCTTTTGATAGAATGATGCTCTGATGTAAAACTCTTTCTTCCTCATTCTTATGCTTTCCTACCAATTCACTCAAAGGCTTAATGGCTGTAGTCCCTCCATAACTACTAGAGCTGGACTGAAATTTCACCTCATGTTTAGAGAGCAACTCCTTTAGCCAAATCATTGACACATTTTATTTTCCTTCATGGTAAGTGGTTTTGGAAAGGAATAAAAATAAATAAATGAGTTATAATATGGAAAAAAAAAAATCATTGGGAGAGGGAGGTGGGAAAAGAGGTTTGAAAATGTCTTTGTAAATTCATTTTAAGAAGAGCAATCCAGTTCAAATTTGACTGACTTAGTCTTATAATAGAAACAATTATATGCTTTATTCTAAAGTATCTAGATTTTACTGCTATAATGTGTAGGAGCTCTGGTAGCATAGTGGCTAAGGCACTTGACTGCTAACCAGAAGACTGGCGGTTCAAACCCACCAGCCACTCCTTGGAAGGAAGATGGGGCAATCTACTTCCGTAGTGATACTGCCTCGGAAACCCAAGGAGGGGTCGCTATGGGTCAGGTCCGACTCAACGGCACCTAACAACAACAACAACAACAATGTGTTTGTGAGTTATTATTTCCAAAAAGCCTTCTCTGAAGTCTATGCATCATTAGAAGCAGTAACCCACCTTCCAGCTCCAGCTTTCTAAGCACATGTCTTATGCCATTTTATATAAGATGTTAGAAGAAATAAGAGAAGAAAATGAAATAGTTGAACCATTTCAGACAGTACAACAACCATTTCATCTGAGAGCAGTTAAGAGAGTTCATGACTATCCCAGCATTATCTGGAATACTTTATATCCAAGCAAAGACAGAGCATATGACCCTACTTAAGGGAGCTGGATGTCTTCCAGTCACTTGGAAGGGAGAGCTTCAGCAGACTTTACATGGTCAAACTTTGTTGGTGATGAGATAGTAGTTTTTTCTTTTCTCCTAGGTATATAATAATATTTTTCTTTCTATTGCATAAAAATAATAGTTTTCTTTATAAAGAAAAAAAAAAGGAAGAAAAATATTCTTATCCTTCTGGGTCTATGTCAGGCAATGGCATCACTAGCATCGATGTCAATCAGTGTGAGAACTCATGATGTCAACCTTCCCCTGGATCTCCTCCCATACCAGACTATATAGAATCCTTAGTAATGTTTATGATCAGTTTCAATCATAGAACAATATGTGATAAATACAATTAAATATTGCCTTAATGTATTTTTTAGATTATATGAGTAGTAACAACAAAATTGTTTTGAAAATCTTTCTACATTGAATTACATTATTCGTTACAACATTATTAGTAACTGAAACTTTTTATTTTCCTCCTTCTTTTACTTTAATTACTGCTTCATTCTCAAAAATGTTATTGATACAGATTGACAAATACTAATTACTACAGTATTGTAGCTAAAACAGGAGAAAATTTGACAAAATCAGCAACTACAAAAAACACTAGCAACAGTAAAAACAACAGCACTGCGTATAGCTCGTGCAGACAAAACCACATGATTTGAAGCATCCTTGTAATTGAGAAATAATGACAACTCTAACCCCAGCACATTACCAAACTCAAAAATTAAATTAGCATAAAGTTTTAACCTTCTTAATATATTGATACATGTGAGATGTGCTTACAAAAAATGTTTTTGTTGTTATAATTAACTACAGAGATATTTTTATTAAAAAAATTGTAAGTTCCTACTAAAATATACACTAAAATTTTATAGACAGTAGTTTTAGTGTCACCTCCTCTGACAGTGTCTCCTGGTATAGTCCACATCCTCTGTACTCACTAGTGATACCACTGATGCCAGGCCAACATAGCCTAGAATCCAAAACCCTATTTAGACTGGGAGTTAAATGTATTGCATGGTTATGATTATGATGCTTATGCTTCTGGCAACTATAAAATAATAACCAAAGAACAGTAGTATGGTAAATGATCTAGTCTGAAATCAAACTAATTATCTGACTTTTGCTTTAATGACCAGGAAAACTATAAAAAAACAATTTTCAAGTAAATTCTTTGAACTAAGAAATACAAAAAATAAAACCCAGCAAGCATTTACAAGGAAACATGAATTTTGGAACTTCAGATTGTTATTAATTCAGTTCTGGGATCTGGTTCAGGATTCTCATTTTATCCCAAGCTAGTTTGATATCATAGTACAATATGGGAATCAAATTGAATCCATTATGATTAATTCGTATTCTAGAAAACAGAAAGCAAAAGTTAACAACAGGGCTTTCTAGATAAGACTATACTGTGTGGATGGGGACAAAGGGGCATCTATAACCATCTTTGACTGATTTTATTCAGCTTGCTTCATGGAAGCTGAATGCAAAAACACCATACTCCTCTGTCCCCACTGCCCCCACCAGATCTCGTGCCTCTAGCTTTCCATTCTGTTAAAGTGAAAGGTTATATTCCTTGTCAGTAGAGGGGAAATAAGGAGGCATCCTGAAAATCGCCACAGATATATGTGGAATTGCTCAAGTCAGCCCTGAAAAGTATCTAGATCATCTACTTCTTAACTTTTAAAACTGATAATAGTTCTTAGCTCATGTACAGCATTGAACTTCCTTTTTAACAATCAAAACACAATGTATAAAACTTTGCTTTATAGAGTTATTTGGTAGAATTTAAAGAAAAGGACCCAGAGATTAACACCTTGCATCAATACAACTTTCTTTTTTCTTTTTAGTAATATGCTTTTAGACTTTGAAAATGGTCTCTATAACCCTGGAAAGTAATCAAAAGTAGATTTTCCACGCAAAAAAAAAATATGTAGGTAAATCAACGTCAATGACTGGATATAAAGACTGGGTTAAAGGAATATGAATTGCAACTTGACAGTTTTTGTAAAAGAAAGATGAGCAGAATGTATTCTGAGTGATGTATGTAATATGAAGTAAAAGTAATCAAGATGGACTAGTGGGATGGACAGTGAAGATGAGATTGTATGAGACCTGTCTTTAAAAAAAACAAAGAATTGAGAGTGATATTAACTTATAATGTGAAAGGCAAGCCAAACAGAATGTACATCAGCTGTCAAATTGCTTCATTCCTTTAGAGCAGTTGTTCATCTGAAAATAGCCGTCAAATGAGAAAGGATGATTACAAAAGGATTAGACACCATAGGCATTTCTACACTCCCTAGAACTCCAGCTTTGTTATGACAGAACAGCAAGAGTTTAGAGGAAGTGACCTATAGAATATTAAATGATGTTAGAAAGGATCTGAGCTATATTAATTCTAAGAAGGGTTTTTATTGATACCATTTCCATGGATTTCCTTCATGATGGCTGATGCTTGCTGTTTCCTCTGCTTCACCATGGCATTATGAGATAGCATGGTTTTTTGTTCCCTGTTAAAAATAAAGGGACATTATTGAGGTAATGTAAGGAACTCACTGGGAGTATTTTATAATCACCCTGTTGAGAGACAGCATCTTTGTTCTTTAGTAAGTATTTATCATTGCATTCTACAGAAGGACTTTTATACACACTCCTTGTCTAATGACAGAGCTTGCTATTCACTCACAGGCAATGTCTCAGATGAACACAGGCTGATACTTGGAGTTTCAAACCCAGTCTTATCTGCACATCAACACAAAGATCATCAGATCATCAGGCAGTGAGAAACAATAAACTAACTGGCCTCCTTTTCCCTCCCTCTCTCTTTTCCACATTTATTCTAATTTGTCATTGTTTCCTAGACCTTACTGGCCTTCATTTGTATCTGCATCACAGTACATAAATTCCAGCAAACTGTAAGAATAAGGCAAGGATACCAGATTAAACCAGAATTCTTTGGTGGTGGTATTTTAATATTGGCATCAACAGCTGTTCTTTAAAGAAAAGACTGCCCATTTTCTGAGTCACAACTCTGAACCTCTTTGGACAACTGACTAATAAAACATTTTAGGAAACATTATACTTACTCACCTTATTGTTAGACTGTGCTTTTCAGAAGGGATGAATCCCAATTTGTGTAGGAAAGACTCTGAAGATGGAAAATGGATGGCACTTGGGCCTGATGTTTTTTATCCTTGAGCTTGGGAAGGCATGGTCGCTAGCTCTGACTCAAACTGGGGACTGAGCCTTTCTGAAAAGACTGGCATCCAGCTGACATCAACTGACTATATATAGCACCAAATACTTCAGCTACTCATATCTTCCTGGCGAAAGAAAGGAATAAAGATTAGATTCTCTCCATTGTATTTCTAGTTTGTGAGGTGTTTGAATGAAATGGTTATTCATTAGATATACAACACATTTTTATTGAGCACCTTCTATTTGAAGAGATAGCTATAAGTGGCTTAAACATTTTTAAAGATATAGCCCTACACTCTTCACAACTGAATTGATGAGGCAAGAGATACATGCTTCAATTAAAATAGAATAGTATTAAAAAAGCGAGCAAAAATCCTGGGTCATACAAATGTTTTGCACTTGACTACTAACCTAAAGGTTGGCAGTTCAAAACCGCCTTGCATAGGGTCAAAGACGTAAATGTAAAGCCCCAAACTATAAAGCTTATCAAAGGTAAAATAGGGACAAATCTAGGGGCTTTAATTTATGGCATAGATAGACTATCAAGCATAACCCAGAATGCACAGGCAGTGGAAGAGAAACTAGATGAGCAGGACCTGTTAAAAATTACATTCTTATGCACATCGAATGACTTCTCCAAAATGGTAATAATAATAATAATAGCAAAGTCCAACATAACAGAAAATAACAAATGCTGCTGAGGTTGCAGAGAGATTGGAACTCTCATATGCTGCTGGTGGGACTATAAAATGGTACAACCATTGTGACAAATGGTACTGTTGTTGTTAGGTGCCATCAAGTCATCTTCAATTCATAGCAACCCTATGCACAGCAGAATGAAACACCGCCTGGTCCAGCGCCAGTATAATTCTTGTTATACTAAGCCCATCGCTGCTGCCACTGTATCAATCCATCTCATTGAGGGTCTTCTCCTCTTTCGTCTACCCTCCACCTTATCAAGCATGACATCCTTCTCCAGGGAATGGTCCTTTCTGACAACATGACCAAAGTAGGTAAGATGAAGTCTGCCCATTCTTGCCTCCAAGGAACATTCTGGCTGCCCTTCCTCCAGGACAGAACTGTCAGTTCTTTTATCAATCCACAGTACTTTCAGCATTCTTCACCAACACCACAGCTCAAAAGCATCAATTCTTCTTTGGTCTTCATTATTCATTGTCCAGCTCTCACATGCATATGAAGCACTTAAAAATACCATAGCTTGTGTCATGCGCACCTCAGTCCTCAAGGACACATCTTTGCTCTTCAGCACTTGAAAGAGGTCCTCTGCAGCTGATTTGCCTCATGCTATACGTTGTCTTGGAAGGAAGGTTGGGCAATCCTACTTCCGTAGTGATACTGCCTCGGAAACCCAAGGAGGGGTCGCTGTGAGTCGGGGCCGACTTGACAGCACATAACAACAACAACAATACATTGTCTGATGTCCTGAGTGCTGCTTCCATTGGTGTCGATTGTAGAACCAAGCAATGTGAAGTTTTTGACAAATTTCAATCTTTTCTCCATTTATGAGGATTTTTATTTTCTTTATATTGAGATGTAATCCATACTGCAGACTGTATTCTTCAATCTTCATCAGTAAGTGCCTCAAGTCATCCTCACTTTCAACAAGCAAAGTTGTATTATCAGCGTATCACAGGTTGTTAATGATTCTAGCTACAATCCTGATGCCACGTTCTTCCTCATATAGTTCAGCTTCTTGGGTTATTTGCTTAGTATACAGATTGAATAAGTATGGTGAAAGGATACAACTCTGTCACACTTCCTTTTTGATTTTAAACCATGCAATATCCCCTTATTCTCTTTGAACGACAGCCTCCTGGTCTATGTACAGGTTCCTCATGAGTAGAAGTAAGTGTTCTGGAATTCTCATTCTTCTCAATGTTAACCACAATTTGTTATGATCCACACTATCAAATACCTTTACATAGTCAATAAAACACAAATAAACATCATTCTGGTATTCTTTGTTTTAAGCCAAGATCCATCTGACATCAGCAATGATATCCCTCATCCACATCCTCTTCTGAATCCAGCTTGCATTTCTAGAAGTTCTCTGTCAATATACTGCTGCAATCGACTTTGAATTATCTTCAGTAAGATTTTACTTGCATGCAATATTAATGATATTGTTCAATAATTTCCACATTCTGTGGGATCACCTTTGGAATGGGTACAAATCTGGTTATCTTCCAGTCAGTTGGCCAGGTAGCTGTCTCCAAATCTCTTGGTATAACTGAGTGAATGCCTCTAGGGGGGCATCTGTTTGTTGAAACATCTCAACAGGTATTCTGTCAATTCCTGGAGCCTTGTTCTTCACCAATTCTTTCAGTGCAGCTTCAACTTCTTCCTTCAGTACCATTGGTTCTTGAACATATATCACCTCCTGAAATGGATGAAGATCGACCAGTTCTTTTTGGTACAGTGACTCTGTGTATTCCTTCCATATTCTTTAGATGCCTCCTGCATCATTCAATATTTTGCCCATACAATCTTTCAATATTGAAACTTGAGGCTTAAATTTTTTTTTTTTTTCTCAGTTCTTTCAGTTTGAGAAATGCCCAGCATGTTTTTCCCTTTTGGTTTTCTAACTCCAGTTCTTTGCACGTTTTATTATAGTAATTGGCTTTGTCTTCTTGAGCTGCTCTTTGAAATCTTCTGTTCAGCTCTTTTATCTTGTCATTTCTCCCATTTGCTTTAGCTACTTGCTCAAGGGCAAGTTTCAGGGATGTCTCTTCTGACATCCATTTTGGTCTTTTCTTTCTTTCTCATCTTTTTAATGACCTCTTGCTTTCTTCATGGATGATGCTCTTGATGTCATCCCACAATTCTTCTGGTTTTCGGTTATTGATGTTCAATGCATCAAATCTATTCTTTAGATGGTCTCTAAATTCAGGAGGGATATATTCAAAGTCATATTTTGGATCTTGTGGACTTGTTTTAATCATCTCGTACTTTAAGTTGAACTTGCATATGAGCAGTTGATGGTCTGTTGCACAATCAGCTCCTGGCCTGGTTTAGCTAAAGATATTGAGCTTTTCCATTGCCTCTTGCCACAGACTTAGTCATTCTGATTCCTGTGTGCTCCACTTGGGAAGTCCACGTGTATAGCCACTGTTTATGTTGTTAAAGAAAGGTATTTGGAATGAATAAGTCATTGGTGTTGCAAAATTCTATCATGTGATCTCCCGCATTATTTCTGTCACCAAGGCCAAATTTTCCAGCTACCAGTGATTCTTCTTTTTTTCCAACTTTTGCATTCCAATCCCCAGTGATAATCCACACATGTTGATTGCATGGTCAGTCAATTTCAAACTGCAGAAGTTGATAAAAATCTTCAATTTCCTTATCTTTGGCTTTGATGGTTCGTGTGTAAATTTGAATAATAGTAGTATTAACAGGTCTTCCTTGTAGGCGTATGGATATTGGCTTTCACTGACAGCATTGTACTTCATGAGAGATCTTGAAACATCCTTTGTGATGATGAATGTCATGCCATTCCTCTTCCAGTTGTCATTCCCAGCATAGTAGATCATATGGTTGTCTGATTCAAAGTGGCCCAAACCAATCCATTTTAGTTCACTAATGCCTAGGATATCAATCTTTGTGCATTCCATTTCATTTTTGACAACTTCCAATTTTCCTAGATTCATACTTCATACATTCTATGTTCTGATTATTAATGAATGTTAGCAGCTGTTTCTCCTCAATTTGAGTCATGCCATGTCAGCACATGGAGGTCCTGAAAGACTTACTTTATCCATATCATTAAGGTTGGTTCTATTTTGATGAGGCAGATCTTTCCCAGTCCTATTTTGAGTGTCTTCTGACCCAAGGGGTTTGTCTTCCTGCACTGTGTTGGACAATGTTTCCAAGCTATTCATAAAGTTGCCCAGTAATGTAACAGACAGTATTTATCTGCTATTCATAAGGTTTTCCTTGGCCAATTTTTTGAGAAGTAGATGGCCTCTTCTTCCTAGTCTGTCTCAGTCTGGAAGCTGCATTGAAACCTGTACAACATGTGCAACCCTGTTGGCATTTGAAACACCAGTGGCACAGCCTCAAGCCTCACAGCAACATGCAAGCCTCACAGGATGACAAACTGACAAACAAGTTTGTCTCCCTTAGCCTTGGAAACCTCTCTGTCCTCCCCTTACCTAATTCCTACCTGGATCCTGCCACTTTGTGTTTCCTGGCTGCTCCCTCCCTTTCCTGGCTCTAAGGGTCTGGGGCCTTGCCTGACTCCTGCCCCTTACCTGGATCCTGTTGCAAATGGTATGATGTTTCCTTAAAAAACTGAAAATAGAAATACCATTTGAACAAGAAATTCCATTACTAGGAATATACCCTAAAGAGGTGAGAGACAGAACACAAACAAATATATGCACACCTATGTTCATCACAGCACAATTCACTATAGCAAAGAGATGGAAACAACCTAAATGCCCATCAGCAGATGAGTGGATCACCAAATTATGGTACATTCACGCAATGGAATACTATGTTACGTTAAAGAATAATGAAGAATATGTGAATCATCTCACAATGTGATCAAATCTGGTGGACATTATGCTGAGTGAAATAAGTCAATCACAGAAGAACAAATATTGTATGAGCCCATTACTGTATAAAGTCAAGGAAGGGTTTGGTTAGGGAAGGTTACTGTGGATGGGAGGGAAGAGGAGGGTAAAATTCAGACTAGTTGGGGGCCACACCCTGAGTTGGATAAGGGGAGGGACAGTATGGAAAGGGTCTGTGACCAGCGTGATGACATTGGGAAAGAGAGGACACCATAATGTGCACATAAGATATAGACAACAAAGGCAAATACTAGTATATGCACAACACTGAATTATCACTAACACCAAACACTAGGCTACAGATAACTGCATAGACAAGTGAGAAGATCAGGTGGAGGTCAGTGAACAAGAATGTACCCCAGACCAATAATAGATATAGCTGAAGATAATCTTGCACAGACAGTAATGATTCAAAATAACCACAATCATTACAGA